CAAGGTTGCACCCACCGGCAAATTAAAAAAAAAAAAAAGATAGCTGGTAAGAGCAAGTATCTTTCAGCAATTTTTGTGTAGTCTAGGAAGGTGCTAGGGGGAACGTTAATTGTGTAGCCCATGATTAGTTGATTTCAGTGTGTAACTAATTACATGGTATGTGTCAGCATCCATTTGTACTCTGACCCAGACATCTTATTGTTGCACTCCTACTATTGCCATATAAAAAATAACTGAAGGAGGGAAGTGATATAAACAGAGGTACCCTAAACAAAGGTGTTTGTAGAGACGTTATCAAAGATAAAGAATAAAAAAGATACCCATATTAGCATTTTAACAGCTGGTACATCGTTAAGTATTTATTAGCACTTAGAATGTTGTCAGACAGTGATTATGATCTTGAAGAGACATAACCTGTTTTACACCTTAGATTTGTAATAGGAGAAAAGGCAAACTGTTAACTTGGGAATGCTGGGAGAACAGCAGAGGCTCATGAGCTGGGGATAAGAGTTGCAAGGTAGACAGGTTAGACATGATAGGAATTTAGAGTAATTGTTTTTAGGGGTTTTTTTAGAGGTTTTTGCTGTAGAGCGCGTGTGCTTGACAGACAGCGAGAAATAACCCCCTAGGGGAAATGACAACACCACAATCCCAACTCCTCCATTCTCCTTTTGGGATCTTGGGTATTCATGCAAGTGTGCCCGACATTTGTTTAAGCCACTGGGTCCAGGGCTAGATGGTCCACTACATCGGAGTCTAGCAATGTAGCCTTTATGCCATCTGCTGGTCCCTTATTTTTTTGTTTTGTTTTGTTTAAGGGAGATCTTTGCTATAGGGGGCATGTACTCTCCAAAGAGACAGAAAGCAAGAAACCACCACCCCCCCTTCTGGGGGGGATAGGTACACTGCAGTACCTGCTCCTCCATTTTCCTCCTGGATCTTGGGCATGCACCTTGTGAGTTTTAGTCAAGTCCCACTGGGTCTGGGACTTGAACTATGTGGGAGTCAACTATGTCAACTTTGTGGGAGTCTAGCAATATAACCATTACGTCATCTGCTGGTCCCTATATTAATTATCATGTGAATTTAGAAGCTGATGTGCTGGGGAGCCTAATGAAGGTTTTTGTTTGTTTGTTTTTTAAGAACCTTTACAAAGGTCTGACTGGGCTTGGGTAATTAATACGGTATTGGTGTGAGCATAGCCATTCACTATAGGATATGTTGCATCATTTTTTTTCCTTCTCGTTTTCACCCATTTCCTTAAAGTGATATGTGTATGTGTTTTAGAGAGGTTTTTTACTATAGGGCGCATGCGCTCGCCGGAGAGACTGAAAGAAAGCGAGAAATTACCCCCCAGGGGGATGGCCATGCTGCAATCCCTTCTCCTCCATTCTCCCCTTGGGATCTTGGGCACGCACGCCCACATTCCTGGTGTGAGTTTAAGCCCCCAGGTCCAGGACACAAACCGCAGTCAACTACATGGGAGTCCAGCAATAGCCATTACACCAACTGTTAGTCCCAACCTTGTTTTGAAAAGACAGAGTAATACTTCTGTTATTTTGAATTAAAGATAATTATTAGCACATTTTATTTTGGAAAACAAAAGTGAAGTTAATACACAAAACAGTTGTAGTATAGATAATAAATTCTAATTAGAGCTTTGTTCTTTTTTTCATAGATTTTCCCTATAAGGTGCATGTACTTACCAGAGAAACAGAGAGAGACAGAAAATGAGACGTCACCCCTCAGGGGGATGGCCATGCTCCAATCCCTTCTTGGGATTTTGGGTATGCATATACATATGCTGTGAGTTTTAAGCCCCCCGGGTCCAGGACTCGAATCATGATCGACTACATGGAGTCCAGCGATGTAACCATTACACACTCTGCTGCTCCCTAGAGCTATATATTTTTTTAAAGAATTATTTTATTTGGGCTAGCAAGCAGCATGGTGGTAAAGTGCACTGGACTCCCATATGGCTGACCGTGGTTCAAGTCCAAGATCTGGCAGCTTGCTTTCTCACTTTCTCTCTCTTTATCTGTGTCTCTCTCTGGTCAAATAAAAATAGCATGTAGCTGGAGAGACAAAGTGAGAAATCACGCCTTCTCCCTTGGGGAGGATGGCCATGCCACAGTCTAATCTCTTCCATTCTTTTCTTGAGATCTTGGGCACGCATTCACACACTTATATATACAGTGGCACCCAGCATAAGTTTCAAGCCCCTGGATCTGGGATTTGAACTGTTTTCGATCATGAAGGGAGTCCAGTGCCTTAACTATTATACAACCTGTTGGTCCAGTAAATGTTACTTTGAATGCATGAGTTTTGAAATTCTGTTAACATCAGGGCCAGGGGGTGGCGTGATGGTAGAGGGTGCTGGACTCCCACATAACTGACTCCGGTTCAAGTCCCAGACATGGCGACTTGCTTTCTCACTTCGTGCGCACTCTCTCTCGTCAGTTTTAAATGAAATGAATAAATAAGGTTAAATAAAATAAATTTTTTAAAAAGAAATTCTATGAACATATATTTCCTCTATTTAAGAAGTAAGTGCCCTAGAACCCATCTTTTTTTTTCTGCTGTAGGACGTGTGCACTCGCCAGAAACACAGAAAGCGAGAAGTCACCACCAAGGGGGATGGCCATGCCACAATCCTTTCTCCATTCTCCTCTTGAGATCTTAGGCACACACACACACCTGGCTTGAGTTTAAGCCACCAGGTCCAGGACTCGAAACGTGGTCGACTTCATGGGAGTCTAGCAAAATAGGCATTA